AAAAAAACCCCTCCTCAATACCCTTTTTTCCCTACCACCTATTGTGGCCATTATCCTTCTCTTATCCTTTTTTCCCACTTTTCCCATCCTTTTTTTCCTTTTTTCCCTTCCACCATTGTGGATAGTCTTAGTGGCATCAGTAGGGTTTGGAAAAACCCATTGGCCTCCCTTCATTTCCTCTAGCGCCGCAGCATCCTTTTCTTTCTTCCTCCTCCTTTTTTTTTTATAATAATCTCTTCTCTTCGTACCCCAACCGATCAAAGCACCCAACAATGGCAGCAAAGATCCGCGGCGATGGTGATGACGAAGGGACGGTGGGGACGATGGCGAGGATGTGCAGCGACGGGTGGGAAGACTTGACGGCGGGAAGGAACGGCAACGGCGGCCGTGACAGGGCGACATCGACGGTGATACGGAAATCAAGGCGGCGAAGACGAATGAAGTGCCTGACTCATGGTGACGGCGGCGGAGATGACGACGGGCTGGGTGGATGATTCAAATCGACGGATCTTTTACTTCCACCGTCTCCCTCTTATAAATCGCCTCTGCTCGTTTCCCGCCGTAGTTCTGGTTTCGGCGCCGGTGCCCCTTGATTGACGACGTCGGCTTGATTTGGAGCTTGCAGGAGGTCCGGTGGTGACCGCCGTGGTGACACAACAGCCGGCCAGAGAATGGTACTGTGGCGCGGCAATGATGGCTGCACTTGATGGCGGTGCTGGCGGAGGCAGGGGTGGCCTGGCAATTGGTGACGACCAAGACAGGGACAAGAGAGTCAATGTTGATGGGTTACGGAACCCATTGGCTGATCGACGGCGGCCGTACTGATGGCGGCGACTGGTGTGAGGATCCATGGCAATGGCTTCTTTCAGTGTTTCTTCTACTGCTGTAGAAGCCAGAATCCTCCTCTGGATTTGATAGTGTGATTGATAGCGGAAGCTTGAGAGAATGGTGACTCGAATGGCTGAATCATAGATGGTGTAAGATTGGAGATGAGCAGCCTGGAGAATGCTCACTCATGATTGGAAGGTATAGAAAGACTTTGTAGACTGAAAGTTGAAGAATAGATACTGAAGGTTTGGAAAGAAGTATTTAGGAACTCAACAGAATCGTTTCTTCCTTTTCTTTTTCTTTGGCTTTCCCTCACTGGAATCTGATTCCAGCTCTGATACCATGATGAATTTGGTTGATATGATTTTATTGATGGAAAGCTTGAATGTTACAGAAGGTTTCCTACTCTATTTATACAAAAGGAAAGACTCACATATGAGCTTCTTGGTTTGTGAGAAAGACATAAAAAAGATTATCTCTTTATCTAGTAATAACTAGGAATGGTGCTTCTGATGAAAGTGTGGTAATTGTAAATAGAGTTGTTGGTGGTTGCTGCAGATGAGGTGTTGCAAGTTGTTGTTGTGGCAGACTATTGATGGAGCAACATGCCATGTTGCTGGAATGGTCATCATCTTCAACATAACCAAACCAACAACGTACGTCTCTCATTCCAAACCGTCCCATTCATCATATTGGCAATCGATCTCCTTTCTTCCGTTAATTTTTTTTACTATAAATTTCCACAGCCAATAATACCATAAAACAACCATTCCCAAAAATTAATGGCTGCTTTAGTAGTGAAGAAGCAAACGTCCATCCTGATAACGCTGCTGACTTATCTCATCATCATCATCATCATCATCAACGCCACGATGACGGCAGCTTCTGCAGTTGGTTGTAGTACTGATCATGATCTCACCTCCGGCTTCGAATCCCTCCCACTACGCAAGGAAAACTTCCGTATCCTGAAGCCGTACGACATTCCTTTGGAGCAGCGCTACAGCTTCATCAATGGCGTCCACAAGTGCTGGGTTTACTCCACTGACAAGCCTCACTCTCCCGGCAGCAAAACCCTGCCAAGAACCGAGATTGGCATCCATGTAAGTATATAGAAGGGTTATAGGTATAATATGTCCCTCTACTATGTCGTATTATCAGACATGCCCCCTATACTATTTTTTCCATCAAACATGCTCCTATACTTTGGAAAAAATGATCAAACATGTCATTCTGTTAAAATTTTCATCCAAAAATCGTCAATCATGGTCGAACCTTGGTTTGCGCAACACAAATGTCTAAAATATCCTTGATAATTTCACTTAGAAGTGTTTGGATTCTTTTGTAGTGCCAAATACCTCTAATAATTTCACTTTAACAAGACCTGGAGAAATAAATCAAGGGAAAAAACTGACATTTTCTCTCTCATTTACCGATGTCGGATCGTCTAAATCTCGGTTCAACCATTGTTGACGATTTTTTAATGAAAATTTAACAAAATGGCATATTTGATCATTTTCCCCAAGTATAGGGGCATATTTGATGTAAAAAATAATAAAGGGGCATGTTTGATAAAACGGCATATTAAAGAAGTATATATTACCTATAACCCTATATAGAATTATAGATCGATTCGCTTGCCGCCGACCTGTGTTCAACTTTATAAACACATGCATGCAGGGCTATGGCTACAGATCGGGAGTGTGGCAATTCGAAGGCTACGGCTACGTCCCCAAGGGCACGACGGGAGTGTGCATAATGCAGATATTCGGCGCAACCGCGCCACGTGCCTCGTCGGCGATGGTGAGAGTTTACGACGGCAACCTCGTGTTCTACAGGAGGAAGGTGCTGGCGGAGAACATCTACGACAAATGGTTCCGATTGAACGTGATCCACGACGTTGGAGCCTCGAAAGTTCAGATCTACATCGATGGAGAGCTCAAGTTGGAAACCAAAGACGGCGGGGGAACTGTTCATACCTTTAAATGTGGTGTCTACGCACAAGACAAAGACTCCAATTACATGGAGTCGCGGTGGAAGGATCTCAAGGTTTTGAGGAAACTGTAAAACTTTTGAACTACAGGTAGTGTACAACCTAAAGCTAGCTAGCTAGATTTTATGATATCAGCGGATGTAGGAACATGTGATCAGGTGGTATTATAATAAAGATATTTTAATATCGGTCTTTGAGTTTTAACAACCGATTACAAAAGCTTTATTTTGGTTTTTTCTTTTTTATAAAATGTAAAAGTTGTTGTTAGGGTTGGGCGCAACGATCAGGTTCACATCGGATTGAATTGTACCGAATCAATATTTGGATTGAATCGGATTGAATCGAATTGAATATATTCCGATTTCGTTTTGATTTTATGAATTATTTTAAGTATGAAAAGCAAATGGACAGAAAGTAAATTGGGTCGGAACGAATCAAACCAAATGAAACCAAACATATTTTTGGTCTGGTTCTGGTCCTCATCATTTTTGCTTTATTTTTTTTCCAGTCCTAACTACATTTGATCTGATTTTGGAGACTGATGCTTACTCCCAGTTGTCGTAGTTTTTCTTATCTCTTTCACAAATAAAGATAACACTTTAAGGTTTTTTTTTATTCAAATGCATTAGTGTAAAATTTCTCTCGTTTAATGCTAGTTGCTCTCAATTTTTCTTTTATTATCAACAAACTTATTTTCCGGCAACATAGCTAACACAGTAACACTACATAATATTACTATGTTCAAAATCCTATCAAGTATCAACTTCTACAACTTGCTCATGACTTGCACGGCCAAACTGATCGCCTGGCCCGGGCACAGTTCCATTACCGGTCCAGTACTTAATTTCAAGCCCAGCGGTCACTAGGCCGAGACACAAAGGGTTGATTGGGCCGTGGTGTCTCTTGGTCTTTGTTATAGATGACGGCCCACTAACCTTTCATGTACAGAGCCCACTGATCTTTTGAATGTCTCGCTCCATTCCACCATTGATCTTCATCTTGTCATTGGTCTTTTCAGTGTAGATTAACCGTAAATTGTTCTCGTAATTTTTATTTGAATCTGCTTAATTGTAAAAGTGGTGGTTCAATTTGAATGTCTTGGAGGTCTTGCGAAAGGAGTCCTAAATTAATATTCGTTCCACTATCCTATTCCTACGAACCTTCGACACAAGGATTTTGAGTCCTTACTCTAATCACTTGAGCTATCTAAACAACTTTGGTAAATTATGTTTTCTTCACCAAATAGAGTCCAATGAAAACAACGACCAAACTACTCCCCTGGGTACTAATTTCAACGACCAAATGGTGTTTCCCGTCGGTAAGAGTTGTAACGGCAAAGCTAATAACTAGAGTTTCTTTTCCGTTGACAATGAATTGCAATGAGGATATTCGACCTTTTACTGACAAGTTTTACCCATCGTTAAATTCATTTTTTTCGTGGTGTTGGTTAAAATCACAGGTAGATATAGATGATCTTGTGCGATTATTTTGTCACCTCTACTAGTAATCATTGCTATGACGGTCACATTCATAACTCTACACTACGAGAACAAATGAATTGATTTCTGCCCACAAAATTACTACTATTCCTTATTTATTTAACAAAAGATCAGTATTTTAACATGAATACGCCCATTGTTAAGAAGCAAAACAAATCTCACCATTATAAAAAAAAAAAGCAAAACAAATCATTTTCCAAAGTGAAAAGGGTCTGGAATGGCACAAATTATACAAAGGGTTCAAAGGTCATCAGTTTACCTCGCGCATCATACACAGCTACTCTACGCCGCAGCATAATATCCATCGGCGGGAACGGGAAGTAGTAATTTGTTAAGTGGATTTCTCCGGTAGAAACTTCCACGCAATTTACGCTGTAAGAATCATATGCTGATTGAAAGAAATATAGTTATAATGAAGAAGAAGATGATGAAAAAAAGAAGCTAACAACTAACAACGATAAACTGAAATGTTCTTCTTCATAGACTGAATCATCGAACTAACGTCGTACATACATATTTAGAGAGCTAAAACCCCTAAACTAGTCCTAATCCTACTCGACAAGGGTTACTTGGCCGCTACTCCAAACATACTAATCCTACTATAAGTATAGCCGAAACTCCTAATTGATAAAACTACTAATAATCTACGTAACAAAATTAGAGCAAGTACTAAACCTACGATGATGATCAGCGGCGGCGACGGCAGCTCCCACTGCCCTACGTGTAGCTGTTGGAAGAAGAAAGCTCGGAAGAATGACAGGTTCAGCGAACTTCCCGACCATCTCCTCCGTCGCATTCTCTCCTTCATCGACTCGAAACTCGCCGTCCAAACTTGCGCCCTCTCCCCGCGGTGGAGATCCGTCTGGAAAGGCGTCCCTGTCCTCAATTTAGACACCAAATCCTTCAACAACAGCAACGAACTCCACCAATTCGTCTCCGGAATCATCTCAAGCCGCCACGACTCCGCCCCGATCCACGAGATCAGCGTGGAAATCGGCCGCCAAATCGATTACGACGACGTTAAATATAATGAGATTGGTGGCGAGCTCTTTGCTTACGCGACCTCCCACGGGATTCGACGCCTTCACGCCGTCGATCCGTGGACGGGATTCCTTTGCCGTGCTGATTTCAGCATGGTCGCCACTCTGCATCTGGAAGGCACCAGGTTGGATTGCCCCGGCGGCCGCAGGATCGAACCGTTCGCCGGCTTCCCAAACCTGAGGGATCTAACCCTCAACGGTTGCGACTGGTTGGATGATGATGGCATCAGGGGTCCGAACGAGGACCCTCACTTGACAATCTCCGGGAAACGATTGCGGAATCTCAGGATTCAAGATACCTTCGCGTCTAAGCTCGAAATATTCGCACCGAATCTCGAGTCCTTCATCGCTTGCCAAAATTGTTGGAGCCCGAAGTTTGGCGAGTTTGATCTTCCTTCCCTCGATCGCGCTTACGTTGGATTCGAGGCTGATGACATGTTTTCTGATGTCTTTGCGAAGCGGTTAGTGAAGTTGTTCCGACGGCTGCACCGTGCAAAAACTCTTGCACTGCATTCGGATACCGTCGAGGTTGTTGGGGATTAGCGGAAATGTGGTATGATTTAGGATCAACACAAAGAAAACATATGGTGTTTAATCACTCGATTTAAAATACACTCAAACAAACAATGCCTTATACTTTTGGCTATTGCTTTGAACAATCAGAGAAGATGCACTTGGCACACTTGTGCCTTTCTTTCTTTTCTTTTTCTTTCTCTGACACTACACTTCCACTCCCATACGTACAATATATATATATGGAAAAAGAACAATCAATGGCAATTACTACATAGGTCCATGTATACATTATTTTGGCTCCATCTTTCCTTGACATAATTGTAAGCTTATCCTTCCACCATTGATTAATTGCTGCCATGAGATGTGTCTGTAGGAAATCATCTACATTATTTGGATGTTCAAACATCTTCTCACCATGTGGACTTGTTGGATTGCATATAATTTGATAGATAGTTTCAACCCATGAGATAATGTGTTTGTCTCTTTGAGTTGATGGCCATGGGGCATAGTTTGGTGATGATTAATTACCAATTGCAAATTACCTTTTAACACCCCCTCTTAATTTGCAATTTGAAGTTGCTCCTTGAACTTCTCGAATTTCTCACGGGTAACCGCCTTTGTCATGATATCTGCTGGCTGGTCGTCGGTGTTGATAAATTCCATCACAATTTTCCCGTCGTTGACGAGGTCTCGGATGAAATGATGACGCAACTCGATATGCTTCGATCTTGCGTGAAATACTGGATTCTTTGTCATGGCTATGGCTGACATGTTGTCACAGTGAATAATGGTTGGACCATTTTCACATTGCTGCAAATCAGAAATTAATCTTTTTAGCCATACCGCTTCGCATGCTGCATCTGTAGCTGCGATATATTCTGCTTCCGCTGAGGATAATGCCACAGTCTTCTGCTTCTTTGAACTCCAGGAAATGGGTTTTGAACCCAGGCAGAATATGTACCCCGATGTGCTTTTTCGATCATCCAGTGATCCTGCCCAGTCACTATCGGTATATCCAGTCAGCTTGCTTTCTGCTTCTTTCTTGTACGTCAGGCCCAATTTTTTAGTACCTTGAAGATACCGCAAAATTCTTTTGGCTGCTGCAAAATGAAGTTTGCTAGGTTCATTCATAAATCTTGATATAAGACTTACTGAATGACATATATCCGGCCTGGTATGTGTCAGGTAAATGAGTGACCCGACAAGACTTCTGTACAGCTTTCCATCGACTTTTTCAGCTCCATCATTGATTTGTAATTTCTCGTTTAACGCCATCGGTGTTGAGATTGGTTTGCATGTTGCCATGTGAAATCTTTTCAGCATATCTTCGGTGTACTTCTCCTGTGAAATAAATATTTCTCCAGGTGACTGCTTCACTTGGATCCCAAGAAAATATTTCATGACTCCCAAGTCCGTCATCTCGAATTCTTTCATCATGGTACTTTTGAATTCTTCGATCATATGTTGATTTGTACCTGTATAAATCAAGTCATCAACATACAAACAAACCATTAGAAAATCTTTTCCTTCTCCCTTTTTGATGTAGAGAGATGCTTCACTCGGACTTCTTTGAAATCCGTTTTGCTGAAAATATCGATCAATTCTGCTGTTCCAGGCTCTCGGTGCTTGCTTTAGCCCATATAAAGCCTTTCGGAGACGATAGACTTTGTCTTCTTCTCCTTTTTTCTCATAGCCTCGTGGTTGTTCCACATAGACTTCTTCTTCCAGTTCTCCATTCAAAAATGCTGATTTGACATCCAGCCGGTATACTGGTAACTCCAGTTGAGCAGCTAGAGCGAGAACTGTTCTGATGGTCTCCATTCTCGCTACTGGTGCATATGTCTCGTGAAAATCAATACCGGGCTGTTGTGAATAGCCCTTTGCCACCAGTCGAGCTTTGTACTTCTGGATAGTACCATCTTCATTGAATTTGATCTTATAGATCCATTTGAGACCTATAACCGGCTTGCTCTCCGGTTGATCAACAAGCTCCCATGTCTTGTTTTTCTCGATCATGGAAATTTCTGCATCCATCGCCTCATTCCAAACTTCATCTTTGGCTGCTTCTTCAAAGACTTGAGGCTCACAAGAAAAATATGCAACATGACTTGTTTCATAAATTTCTCGCAAAGACCTTGTTCTCAACGGAGGTGAATCCGAGTCTGTTACGACGTCTCTGAAGTTGTCTCCTTCTGGGCTAGGTGCAGAATTTCTTTCTGGACTAGCAACTGGATCTAGGTCGTTGCTGGTGTCTTGTGGAGTTGTTGAGTCCTCCAGAATTTCATAACTTGGTGGAGATTGAGAAATTGGATTTTCCCAATTCCACTCCGCCATCTCATCAAAGATCACATCTCGGGAAACCACCACTTCGTTCTTTACTGGGTTGTAAAGACGATAGCCTTTGGATTCATCACTGTAGCCGGTGAAGATCAGCTTCTCTCCCTTCTGGTCAAACTTGTCTCGGTTTGGGGTAGAAATATGTGCATAAGCTATGCACCCAAAGACTTTGAGGTGATCCACTTGTGGCCTCCGGTGGTGCCACGCATGTATCGGTGTCTTGTTCCGAACTGCTTTGGTTGGTGATCTGTTGAGGATGTAAATTGTCGTGTTGACTGCTTCTGCCCACAAATTGTTGGGTAGCTTTTTTGCTTTGAGCATACTTCTCGCCATCTCCACAATCGTGCGGTTTTTCCGTTCTGCCACCCCATTTTGTTGTGGTGTGTAACGAACCGTCAGCTGCCTTTTTATCCCGTTGTTGCGGCAATACTCCATGAACGGAGTATAAATAAATTCTCCTCCACGATCTGTACGGAGAGTTTTGATTTGATGGCCACTTTCCTTCTCAGCTACTGCTTGGAATTGAAGGAATTTGGGAAAAGCTTCTGACTTTTGCTCCAGAAAGAATACCCACATCATTCTGGTGAAGTCATCTACAAATAGTAGAAAGTATCTTTTACCGCTGAGTGATTGTGTTCGAGTTGGACCACATATGTCTGCATGTACCAACTCCAGTGGCGCTTTTGCTCTCCAAGATGTCTTTGGAAATGGCAAACGATGCATTTTGCCATATATGCACCCTTCGCAGATTTTGTCTTCTCTGTTGATTTGGGGAAGTCCCACCACCATATTTTTCTGCCTCAGCAATTTGAGGCCTTTGAAGTTGAGATGACCGTATCTGAGATGCCATAGGAAGGATTGATCCAGATTTTCACTCTTGAATGCTACTTCACCATTTTGTGACATAGCAAGAGAGAAAATTCTGTTGGAAGTCATCGGGACTTTGGCCACCATGAAATTGTCTGCTTTGTTGATAATCTCGCACACGCCATTATCAAACAATAGCTTGTAATTTTTCAGCATCAGTTGTCCCACGCTAAGTAGATTGAGAGTTAGCTCCGGAACATACAAAACATCTCGGATGAGAGTTTTGTTACCTTCTTCTGTGCATACAACAACTGTGCCTTTTCCTTCCACTTTTAGCTTCTTCCCGTCTCCCAATTTGACTTGAGAGCGGTATTTGTCATCGATGTCGGTGAAGGACTCCAGATCTCCAGTCATGTGGTTACTGCAACCACTATCCACCATCCAGGGAAGCTGTGATTTTTGCTCACCATTCAAGCATGATAAGGCCACCATATTGCTTTCTTCATTTTTGGTGCCGTTTGATTCGCCTTCTTCTTGCTTGTTCTGGAACCAGCAATCTCTCTGGGAGTGGTTTTGAATTCTGCACTTGGTGCACTTGAATCTGCAGTCTTTTGTTGCATGACCCGCCTTTTTGCAAATTATGCAACTCGAGCCGGTGTAGCCCGATCTTTGTTGTTGATAATTTTGTCTGTTGTTTCCTCTGTAATTGGATCTTCCTCTTCCTCTTCCTTGTGAGTTTCCCCCTCTCTGGCCTTGCTCCGATTTGGCATATTTACTTTCCGTCATGTTGACTTTTGACGAGAAAGCTTGCTCCAATGGCGGTTTGGTGAAGCGACTCATTCTTTGCTCGTGTGCTACAAGTGAGCCCATCAACTCGCTCATTGGTAGATTTGCCAAATCTTTGGTTTCTTCAATGACAGCAACAATATGCTCGAACTTTGATGACAAACTGCGGAGAATTCTCTCCACAATTTTTCTTTCTTCCATGACGTCACCAGTGGCTTTGATCTGGTTGACTGTCTCCGCCACACGCGAATGGAAGTCTTTAATGGTGTCTGTTTCCTTCATCATCAAGTTGTCAAACTGTCGCCATAAACTTTTTCGCCTGATGGAGATCGCCTTTTCAGAACCTTGGAATTGTTCACGCAAGACATACCAAGCTTCTTTGGCCTTTTTGATGCCATAGATTCTCGGGTAAATCGATTTGCTCACTGCTTGCTGAATTATTCTCAAGGCGCTGGCATTTTGCTTGGCATTCTCCTTGTACTCCTTTGTCTGTTTGCCTGCTCGTTTCTTGGAATCTTCATCCTCGTCTTGTGGATCTTCGTAGCCTTCTTGGACGATATCCCAAAGATCTTGAGAGATGAAAATAGGCTCCATTTGGGCACTCCAGTACTCGTACAATTCTCCATCGAAAATGGGAATTTGATTTGATGATGTAGCAAACATGGTGTGTGATGAATTTGTTGCCATGGCTTTTTGAGAAAATTGGGTAGGCTAGAAATTTGGGGATTTTTGAGAGGATAGAAGGGTATTAGCTCTGATACCAAATTTGTTGGGGATTAGCGGAAATGTGGTATGATTTAGGATCAACACAAAGGAAACATATGGTGTTTAATCACTCGATTTAAAATACACTCAAACAAACAATGCCTTATACTTTTGGCTATTGCTTTGAACAATCAGAGAAGATGCACTTGGCACACTTGTGCCTTTCTTTCTTTTCTTTTTCTTTCTCTGACACTACACTTCCACTCCCATACGTACAATATATATATATGGAAAAAGAACAATCAATGGCAATTACTACATAGGTCCATGTATACATTATTTTGGCTCCATCTTTCCTTGACATAATTGTAAGCTTATCCTTCCACCATTGATTAATTGCTGCCATGAGATGTGTCTGTAGGAAATCATCTACATTATTTGGATGTTCAAACATCTTCTCACCATGTGGACTTGTTGGATTGCATATAATTTGATAGATAGTTTCAACCCATGAGATAATGTGTTTGTCTCTTTGAGTTGATGGCCATGGGGCATAGTTTGGTGATGATTAATTACCAATTGCAAATTAAAAACAATTTTGTTAACCATCAGAGAGCAATGAATTATTGAATTTGTACTAAACTCTTAACTTGTATTATGCCTATTTTTTTCCTCACATCACTCTTTTTGTTGAATTGCTGAATTATATTGTTCGAGCCCTACCTGTTGTTTATTAATTAATTAACTATTCAGGTGCTTGAAAGTTATCCTGAATTGCTCGTTGGGCTGTCTCCATTTACTCGACTGAGTACTTTAATCTTTGAGGTAGAATCATTTGACGTGTCTCATATGAAGTCATTCTTCTTTGGGAACCCAGAAAACAAGGGAAGGAAATCTACTCAGTTTAAGGTACGTACTAGTATCTCTAATTCACTATTCTCCTTCTCTTTTGTTACGTTTTAATAATCAGGATCAGCAAATTACATACAATTCTTGTATGTTCAGTCTTCGTTTTCACAGACTAATTACCATGCATCATTATGTATTGTTGGTGTAGGTACTGGAGTAATGTACTACTCGGCTAGTGCTATACGACTGCGGACTGCATGCAACAATGGCAAATTTTACAACAGAGAAGAGAGTTATTACATATGGTCGGTTGTATTATCATATCTACCTATATATCACTTTCTTGGGCTATGTGTGTCTATACATAGAAGTTAGGACTTGGGAGCACAATTTTAGCAGTATAGTACTGCACAACCCAATCCCAGCTATTGTTTCGTTTTGATTATTTTTTTTGGAATAGAAACACTATTCATAATGTTGACAAGTATCTGGTAGACAGATATTTGTTATACGAGTTGAGTTGGTGGGTATTTCGAATATTATGTGACAATTCATTCAATTGCCAAATTATTTCAATTGCGTCTACCTTTATTAGCATTACGATATGAACTTCTTGAAAATCGTATTGTACAGACTAGAAAAGTGCCTATCAAAACCTAAGTCTATAAGTGTTTTCGCGGTATGAAATGATCGAAATTCTTTTCTCAAACTCAAGTTTTAGTAAAAACTAATACACTTTTAAACATTTTTCTCAACCTTCAGCAAAAATAATTATTCACACTAAAACCTAGCAATTAATTAAATCAATCTAAAACCATGATTTACTTTACAACTTTGTTGTCTAAGGGAAAACAGACATCTCAAGTGCATATACTCTTAATAGTTAGTTTGACTTTTTTTTTTTAATGAATGATGAACTTTATTACAAAGAGGAAACAAGAAAATACAACTCAAAAAACGAACACCTTTACAAGCAAGAAGAAAATTTTGAGAAGAAAAATAATTTTTTTTTGGCAAAACAATACAAAAACTCAAAGAGGAAAAACAAGAACCAGAATGGAAACTTCAAGACTGGAGACAGATAACTAACACTAACAGAAAGAGAAACAAAAACAAAGTGAATTCCCTTAAACCTCAAGAACTATTTTGACTTTACACTCACTACTTTATTATTAAATACACTATTTAGTATTCGCCACACAAGAACTATTTTTCTATTAATAAAAATATTCATTTTCTACAACTTTACTTTTTCTAAATTCTTACCACACATATTTTTATATTTTAGGAAAGTAAAAACAAACACATTATTCTTAGTCCCAGCTTGTGTTTCAATTTTCGTATGTCCATGTTTAATTTAATAGATTTTATTTTATTTTCTTACGCGCGAAATGTAAAACTACATGACCACAGAAGTGTTCAGATTTTTTTTTTTTAATAAGGGTGATATAGGTTTGTTTTTTTTTTTTTTGTGATTAAGGTACTACTTAAGGGATTTGAACTTGGGACCTCCAGGTTCTAGGCTAGTGATATTATCACTAGACCAAGCCCTTGTTCGTAGAAGTGTTCAGATTTTGTTGTGAGGGGGTAATTAATAATGTCATAATATTGTTGCCAACCCATAATTGAAAATCGCTTCTATTTAATTATGCGATCAACACTCACATTTTCAGATTTTCATAGTTAAAAAACAGGCTTAACCCTATCTATATAAAGCCCTTTGATTCAGATTTCCCAACTCACCAACCTGCACTAAGTAGACCAACTCAAACAGAAGAAAAAACAAACAAGAACCACGATGAGGTCCTCCTCATTAGTCGCTGCCTTGCTGCTAGTATCGACATTGGCGGCCATGGCAATCCACCTGGCCGCCGCCGACGGCGAGGAAGGCCTCATCAAGAACCACCATGTCCACGTTTCCAGCGAGCTGACCGGCGGGAAGGTGTTACTGGTCCATTGCAAGTCAAAAGACGACGACCTTGGAATCCACAACCTCACGGCCGGGTCCGAGTTCACGTGGAAGTTTAAGCTGGATGTCTGGCTCAGGACGACACTGTTTTGGTGCTACCTGGCGCCTGACGACAGCCACCATGCCGCCTTTGACGCATTCGACGAAGAGCACTACAAGGCGTACGAGTTCCAGTACCATACCTACTGGATCGGGAAAGACGACGGCGTTTATGTGAAGCTCGTTGATAAGAAGACGGACCAGCTAACCTACCAGTGGGTGGATGGAAGGCCCGGCCCGAATCTGTTGGTTCCCAAATGGATTGTGTAAAATTTTGGTGTCATAAATTCATTATAGGAATAATTTTTTTCATATAATGAATGGAAGAAGAAAAAAATTGATTTCATCTCCTTGATGGTAAAACTTGTGGTTGGTTGTCTAGCGAAAGGAGTCCTACATTAATTTTGTTCCACTGTCCGATCTCGAATAATTTATGCAAAGATTTTTAGTTCTTACTCGAATCAGATTACCCGACTTTGAGATATTGTGCTATACCTTTTTAAAGATTAAAATTTGGGTAATAAATTCCCTAAATTTTATACACTAAAATCAATCTCATTTGAAATAATAATCGACGACTATGATTCGATGAGCACAAATCTTGATTCTATGCAATCTTACCAACCAAGTTATAATTATATACTTTGGAACCACAAACTCCCCCAGATTACCTTGCTAGTTGCTCCATGCCACTTTAGATTGCTTAGGTGGGATAGATTCCCAGATAGTTTTGATGTTTAATCTCTGCAACTTATTGCCTTCCAACTTTTTGTCCTTAATCTCAACAAGTTTCTGTAAAGCCAGAATCCCATTTGTAATTCTTTGATTTCCCAGACAGTCTTCCTTTTAAACCTATGCCTTCTTATCCACACAACCCAAAAAGACCCCTCTTCCATCATTAATATCCAAATCATCTTTGCATCACAGTCAATATTCCATGAATATAGGTCTCTGAAGTCAAGACCCCCTCTTTCTTTGGTAATGAAATCGTTTCAGCATACTTTGGCTCACTCACTACTTTACTAGTCTAGAACGCGTTAATGATGCTTATACGAAATATGACCCTGTACTATGTCATTTTATCAAACATATCCCTATACTATTTTTTACATCAAACATGCCCATGTACTTTGGAAAAATGATCAAACATGCCATTTTGTTAATATTTTCATCCAAAACAGTGAACCATTGTCGAACCTTGGTTTGGGCGACACAAATGTCTAAAATATCCCTCGTAATTTCACTTTAGAATTTTTGGATTCTTTTGTAGAGCCAAATACCTCTAATAATTTCACTTTAACGAGACCTAGAAAAATAAAATGAGGGACAAAACTGACATTTTCCCTCTCATTTGTCGATGTCGGGTAGTCTACATCTTGGTTCAACCATAGTTAACGATTTTTTAATGGAAATTTTAACAGAAGGCATGTTTGATCATTTTTCCAAAGTACAATGACATGTTTGATGAAAAAAATAGTAAAAGGGCATGTTTGATAAAACTACATAATAGAGGGGCATATTATACCTATAACCTAAGAAAAAAAAGTAAAAATGAACTGACCATGAACAATACTCACTCGGCTAAAGCTCCATCGGAAGGGCAATTAATCCTGTTGTAAGTCAGCCGATTATAAAGTGTTAGAAAATCTATGGAGGCTTCAGTCTCCCGTCGAAATTTTGTTATTATAATGGCAATATAGATTTATTTTTTGTGGTTTAGATACTAATTACGGGAATTCGAACATGAGAGTCCCAGTCTCCCGTCAAAATTTTAAACATAATATGTAAATATATTAAAAAAAATTACAAATTACGTATAAAAAATTTCTTATTATAAAAAAGAACTAAAAACTGACTAAGCTCGGAATGACTTTCACTAATTGGTTAACAAGCATTTGATTCTTTTCTCTACCAAACAGTAACGGAGCTAAAAATATATTTCAGAAGTTGTGATGGCAATGGAGCGGGGCGGGGCGGGTACCTTAATTCCCATGCCCCGTCCCATGCTACTACAGGTCGGGACGGGTAAAACCCTACGGGGCGGGGCGGGGCGGCCCACTCTTACATGTTGTTCAAAAAAAAATACAAGTAAATTTTACTTTTTACAATAAAAACGTAGGGAAAAACACTTTAACAATGAAAAATATTGATAATAGAATGGATAAGTGAGCCTAACAAGTTGAAAGATCGACTCTAACTAGTTGAAGAAAAGTCAAAATAGGAGAAATATGTATAGATATTGTAAGAAATTGAGATAAAATGAGTCTAAAACAGGGCGGGGCGGGGCAGAGCGAGTCGGAAGTAGATACCCATGCGCCGCCCCACGCTACTGCGGGTCCGGTAATACCCGCCCCATCGCGGGTCAAGTCGGGTAATACCCGCGGAGCGGGTTGAAATTGCCATCACTGTTCAGAAGGGACTATAGCTCTTCCTGACTTTAACTTTAACTCCAACAGACTAATAAAACCGGCCGGTTTGAAGTAAATGTGCATGGCGTTTCACAAAATAACTAGGCAGGCGGGAACTCATCATCAATGGCGAAACTGAACGCAACAGAGCAGCACAAATAAAACAAACCATTTTTTCCCCCCGGCGGACGTGGTACTTAACACGTGACGTGACGCTCTAAAGTGCATGTAACGGTTCTGGTCTTCTTCTAGCTGGATATGGGGACTTTACAGTGCTTTTTGGACTTACATGAAACAAACTCTGGAAAAAAGGGTGCATGTGCATGGTGGTCTCTTCCATAAATACAGCAGTTTCTTCTTCGAAGCTGTCTATTCTGCATGGACGACTCCTTTTTGGCTTTGGCAGTCGCTTCCATTTGTCACCACAAGTCAACACCCAAAACAACACAAAACAACAACAACAACAAACTACACGTTGGTGCAATTCCGTAATTTAATGGAGATCGACTTCATATATGCATGCCACTATGCCAACCACATCTTTGCTGCACTCGTACTACTAGGGCTGGCTATTTGGTTCGGGTTTTTTGGTTTTACCCGAAACTGGACCGTATAATCCGGATGGAGACCGGACCGGGATCGGATAGTAAACAATCAAATCCAATATTTTGGCTTAGATTTGAGGTAAAAAACCGTTTGGGACCAGATCGAAAATTGGATAAAAACCGGATAAGAGAGCTCAACACTCAAAACTTATTAGTAATTTGCATAAACGGTCACAAAACTTTGCACTTAGTACAAAACTTAACCAACTCCTCACCCTTTCAGGCCTTAGGCCACTCAAATCCCCACAAGCTCAATATAAAATCAAGACCGAATTGGGACCGGACTGGGTCAAGACCGGACCGGATCAAGACCGGATTGTATCCAATCCAATCTTTGGTCCTTATATTTCCAAAAAACCCGGACTGGACCGGATCAATTCGGGCCAATTTAACCGGACCGGACCGTATAGCCACCCCTAGGTAGTACCTATCTAGCTAGAATCTTCTTTCAGTATGTGATAGTAGTAATTAGGGGTGGCTATACGGTCCGGTACAGTTAAATTGGCCCAAAATGATTCGGTCCAGTCTTGTCTTTTTGAAAATATAAGGATCAAAGATTGGATTAGATACAATCCGGTCTTGATCCGCTCCTGTCCCAATTTGGTCTTGATTTTATATTGAGCTTGTGGGGATTTGAGTGGCCTAAGGCCTGAAAGGGTGAGGAGTTGGTTAAGTTTTGTACTAAGTGCAATGGTTTTGTGACTGTTTATGCAAATTACCCTTACGTTTTGGGTGTTGAGCTCTCTTATCCGGTTTTTATCCAGTTTTCGATCCGGTCCCGAATGATTTTCTACCTCAAATCTAAGCCCAAAGATTGAATTGGATTGTTTACTATCCGGTCCCGGTCCAGTTTCGGGTAACACCAAAAAACCCGGACCAAATAGCCAGCCTTAGTAGTAATGACAATTTTTTATTCAATCGGCCGGTGCAATCAGATCTATTTCGATTTGTTTGAGGCAGACATTACTTGGTGTATATAGTATAGGATGAGGAATAAATACTACTTTTGACATATTTCGCTCCATCCATTTTATCATGATTTGCATTAGTATCTAGTTGTATTTATGATCTTTTGACCATTTTAAAACCAAATATCGCAAAGAAATTTCAAAACTCCAACTTTCAAATATCTACTCAATTACACTACTATATCTCTAATTTATCTATAATTTTTTCTTTATCTTCTTGTAAAATAGTTAAACATCGACGTTCTTATCTTCATATAACATATAAGAGGGCCTCGACCTGTCCCGTTCCAAACCCACGTATATATATGGCAAAAGCTAGTGTACGCCCGGACGTACCCTAGCCTACTGTACGCCCGTTGAGTTTTGCTATTTAGACAATGAATTAACCAAAGTTTGGGCCATGATACTATACCCTAACCCGTAATGGGTGAACCCCAATCCGCAATTCACTAACCCAAAGCATAATATTCATTTAATCTTGAAATGAAAATCAATGATTCTGATTCGTCGAAATTATTGTTGATTTTCATTTTAAGATTAAACGAATCTTATGATTTGGGTTAGAAAACTAGGGACTAGGGTTTATCCATTAGTGGTTAGGGTATAGTATCATGCCCAAACTCCGGTTAATTCATGATCTAAATAGCAAAACTCAAACGGGCGTATGGTAGTCTAACGTACGCCCGGACGTACGCTAGCCTAAACCGTAAATATATATATATATATATATATATATATATATATATATATATATATATATATATATATATATATATGTGTGAGCTGATATGCACTTAATGGCTAATGCAGAATGAGTATGAGTATTGAAATATCTGTTTCGGCAATACCCATTGCCTTGGGGCACGGAATTTCGACCCTGTTGTATTTTTAGGAATTTAATCAACTTTGTACTAGTGTGGGACAATCATATATGTGATGTGTGGTGAATGCAGAACAAAAAGAAAGTTAAAAGGATTCTAAGCATGTGGAAAAAAAAACAGAATAAAATACGAAATATACCATGATTTTTATGGATCAACTTTACCCTGATTTTCACAGCGGATACTTTCGTTGAATAAAAAATCGTAATGATTTTCCAAATAATGTTGCCTGCACAAATAGTTTTTGACTATTTTTTATGGGATAATTGATCAAAATTGTAAAATAGGTTTGAGCGGGTCACAAACGTCTAAAACGTTAGAAAAAATGTCACATACATATCAAGATATAAAAATATAGTCCTTTTGTATCTTTTCTTCATATTTTATGCCAAAATTGTCAGTTTGCTTGCTTTAGATAAGCGGTAAGTTTAATTGTTTAGGGTTAGTGTCTGCTACTATTTATTAATTTTTGCAGTTAGTAAACAAACTACTTGTGCATTTTGCATGGAATGACACAAAATGACAGTTTAGTTATATCGTGATACAAACATGATATTTCGAACCCATGGTGTGATAGATATTTTTATCCCCATATTACCACTAGGCCAACCCTTTGAGTTCAATTGTCCCTGCTCTATGAAATTGTATGGAATATTCAAAAAAAAAAATTATGAATTGCTTACCTACTCCATTTTCTTACAAAACTTTATTACTACATCTGCACTTACATATATGACAAGTATTTAAACATAGAAATGGAAATTAGAAACCAATTAAATGGCAGCTCATTAAATAGATTCGTTGGGGGGAGGAAGAGTCCCAGATATATTACTTTAATTTATCAAAATTTATCTTAAAATGATTAAATACACACCCAATCACAACATTCCTTGAATTTACCCACGCGTCGGAAAATGTAAAATATAATGGTTTGTGTTAATTGACAGCAATAGAAAAAAAATTAATAATAATATGTAACGCACCAAACTGACCAAAGTTAGCAGTCGCCTATTCCATGCACACCACCTGGATAAGTACCACATTTAAAGCAAATACAAACTCTCTCTCTCTCTCTACAAAATTCTCTCTCCTCTTTTTGTTTTTTTCCCAGAATCTCCGGCCTTCATTCTTCTTCTGGTTAGGGAGGATGAAGAATGGCGAGGAGAAGGAAGTTGGTGATGATGGCGTGCAAGATGAACAAGTTATTATGAGTACGGATGAGAGCGGTAGTACTGGTGATGACGAGGACGCCGACGTCGACGTGGAGGGTGTGGAAGAGGTTGGTGGTGATGATGATGACGCGTCGAGTCCCCATTCGCCGGAAGATGAACAGGCTGATGTTGTTGATGAGGTGGAACAAGAAGATCTGCGGCCGAGGATGAGTTCAGGGGAGGAATTTGGGCTGCCGGCTGGGTGGCAGGTCGAGGAAAGGCCTAGGCTTAGCGGAAAGCTCAAAGGCAGATTCGATAAGGTTCTTTTCCCTCTCTCGTTTTTATTTGTTTTAATCCATTCGTTCGTTTCATTGTTTGATTTCCCTCTGTGAGTAATTTTAAGCTGCTAAATGATTTGACTCTGATATTATTTTGCGATTTAAGCCAATGATTACCATTAGACAAAGAAAGATTAAGGATTTAATTTGGGGGTGTCAATTGCATATGCATTACTCTGTGGGAATCGTGAGTGTTCTTGAAGTTCAAATCTGAAATTGGCTGAAATTCAAGGGTTCAGTGAAGATCGAGGATGGGACCAAGTTTGGGGTATTTTATTTGGAGTGTTTGGTAAATCATATATGTGTAAGATGAATGCTCTTTCACTGAATTTAAAATAAAATTTGCATTTGGTGGGCGAAAATACTTTGAAGATGAGGAGCTAAATTAATTACAAAAGTTGAGAGGTGAACTAACTAATTTACCGGATTCGGGAGTTCAATGATAACATGCGAGAGTCGCATTTTTCGTTATAGATAGATTTGAATTTGGCGCGAAATAATTTGTAAAGCTAGTTTGGGTTGTTTGATTAAGACACGCGAAAGCTTTTGTTTAATTAAAGTTTAATTTGTTGTTGACTCGACAAACTAAATACTAAGATTGTGACGTGGACTAACCAATTTAACTAATGTAGCGGCCCGAATAATAAGTAATGACCGTTTTTTTTTTCTTTTATACTTTCAATTTGAATTTGGCGCGAAAAGGCATTTCAAGAGGCTAGTGACGTAGGCTAATCAACTGACAGAGCTGACAGTTTGATCGACGGTGACAAAAAAAACTTATCTTTCCAAATTAATTAACTAACGAACTATTTTGGATTTAGCGGAAAAAGAATAACCTTGCAAGCGCTGACGACACAGCCAAATCAATACGACTAACTAACTTACCGGAATTCCTAACTTTATTGATGTATGACACATGAGCGTTTCTTTTTCCGTTAGAGCTTTTTTTTTAATTCGGCGCGAAAGAGATTTTTCAGGTGGTGACATAGGCAAATCGACTGGCAGAGCTGGCAGTTTGATCGACGGTGACAAAAAAAACTTATCTTTCCAAATTAATTAACTAACGAACTATTTTGGATTTAGCGGAAAAAGAATAACCTTGCAAGCGCTGACGACATAGCCAAATCAACACGGCTAACTAACTTACCGGTATTCCTGACTCTATTAATGCATGACAAATGGGTGTTTCTTTTTCCGTTAGAACTTTGTTTTTTAATTCGGCGTGAAAGGATTTTTCAGGTGTTGACATAAACAAAACAGTTTGCATACCGCTGACAGTTCGGTGATGACACGTAAGATTTCGGTTTGGTGAAATTTAATTTGAAACTCACCCAAAATAGTTTTAAGTCACTACGTTCGACGTCTCATTGATAAGACGTGAACATTTTCTTTCCCGTTATAAATTTGTATGAAACTTGGCGCGTAAATACACTTCAAACAATGATGTCATATACAGATTTTTGTTCATGTCTTAAACTAACCTTTCCCTTCTTATGAAAACGTCGGATTTGAAATTGTAATACTATTTAGTTTTATAAATGTGGTGCAGTATTACATTGAGCCAGAGACAAACAAAAGGTTCCGTTCTATGGTAGAGGTCAAAGAACACCTCCAAATAGATGACCTTCCTACCAGAAAGATCAAGAGAAGGGCAGGACGAGGTCAAGTCGATTCTGAGGTACGGCACCAATTTGATCTAGTTACAGTTAAAAACTCTTATGGTCAATGCGCGCGGCAGCATATATACTGAAGTTTCATGTTCAGGGAACTTCGAGCTCAACAAGTGAGAGAGGGCGTGGCCGTGGGAGAAGGGGCAGCCGTGGCCGTGGCCGTGGCAGGAACTATGGACCTCTTTCTCAGCCGGTTCTGAGGCCATTTGCTAGGGGAACAACACTTCCAACTCCTCCTCCTCCTCACCATCGAGTTGTTTTCGTTGCAAAACGCAACGACGGCGACGATGAACCGTCGGATGATTGTTAAGCGCAGTCTCTAAGCATCGTAGCGATCAGAGGGCATGAACCGTTAATGAAAGAGGCTTATGTTATCCTCATACTTTATATACAGAAGAGATTTGGACATGTTTTTATCAAGGGAGATTTGAACTTGGTTTTCTCTGGATATGTGTGTGCTGAATGCTGATACATAGTTGCAGTCCTTTTTGTTGAGTTCGTTTGGTACTTTTATGGCGTGTATAAGCTTGTTTCGTCACCAAGAAGTGCATGGGTATGTTCTACAGTTCATACAGAAGGCTTGGGTGGGCTGTTGGGAGAGCTGCTCGCCTAGTTTTAAGGCTACTGGCACACATTTTGATATCGACCTTAATGATGATTCGACGGCTAATATCTCTAATCATATTGCTCAATGTCAATATGATTTTTCACAATCAACAACCACCAAGAAGTATGTGAAGTTAACTTTCAACGAATGACTTTTCTAGTTTAAAAATCGTTATTTTTTAATATATACATTACTTATTTATCGTGAAAAATAAGATATTTCTGAATGGATGAGTCACCTATATGATGTAGAAAGTGAAATATGGCTACAAAATTTTTCGTTCTTGTTGTGTGGTAACTCGTCTAAAACAAAGAAAATGTACTTCTAAAACTTACAATGATGGTTATCGCAATCATGTGATAAATGAATTCTTAGCAAATACAACATAGAGAAATAGAACTGTAAATATCCACGACACTCCATCTCCATTTTGAATATGACGAATAGGATATCGAGTATAAAATATTTCTCAAATAAATGAGTCGGTACTTTGAATATGAGAGAAACGATAAATTTACACGTGTTCACCATTCCATCAATTAATCACACCTCACACTTTTTAGCCTTTCTCTTTTCTTTCTATCCGTTTTCCTTTCCTTTCCGCAGAGTACAAAAATGGCCAAAAGCTTTTTCCCTCCCACCGCCTGCTCATTTTCCGCTTATTTCTAGCCGCCGCAGTTTCCTCTCGTTTCACTTCCTCTTTACATCTCCAACGCTTTCTTCTTCTTCTTCTTCTTCTTCTTCTTCTTCTCTCTTGGTTTCGGAAATTCTGTTCGTCGATGGTTGCCTGATAGTTGCCGGCTGCCGAGTTCACCGCTGCAACTAGATCAGAACGCTGATCCTTTGAAATTGTCAATCACGTTCTCTTTTTCCGTTTCCGGTAACCAGATTCTAGAAGCTTTTCTCTCTCGTTGAGGTAAGCAACTCAGTTCTCTCTGCTTTACAGTAAGATGTCCGATCGTCAAAGATGCACGCTGTCTCTTCTTATCCCATTTACAAGATCTCGAGTCCTTAAATCTGCAATCGCTGACGGAAGTTTATCAATCGTGTATACCGTCGGCCATGGCGGTTACAAAAGTTTGCTCTGTTATCTTTTTGATTGTTTGTTCGTCTGTTTGGAAGCTTGTTTTCTGACTGGAAATTTTAAATTTTTTTCCCCCTGAGATCAGCCCTGTTTTGAGGATTCAGAATGCCTAAAGCGGTGGCCACAGGGGGAACTAATCCCGACAGGTTGAGCGATTTGCCCGACGAAGTTCTGCACTTCATTCTCTCCTGCGTGGACTCCGAGTCGGCGGTTCGAAGCGGCATTTTGTCGAACAGGTGGAGATCACTCTGGAAAACGGTTCCCGTCCTCAATTTCGACGGCGAATCCTTCAACGACGACGGACAGAGCTTCAAGCGCCATGTGGACAGATTTCTGTATCTCCGTTCCACCACTTTGCACGAGGTCCGACGTATATCGGTCCTCAATTGCCCTGGATTTGACGAGAGATCCGACGTCTTGACCGCTCTTTTCCTGTCGATCTCCCGTTGCGGCCCATCCTTGGAGACTCTGAACTTGCAAACAGTCCGGCTTTACACCATGGCTTTTGCTGTGCCCTGTTCTGTTTTCAAAGTGCTCACAACTTTGACTTTGGTCGACTGCTGCTTCGACTTCTCCTGCTGGTACCAGCAGGGTGACCCTTTTGCTGGTTTCCCCGCGTTGAAGAATTTGAAGCTGATTTCTTGCAGCTGCTGCCTTGATGATGAAGATGATCCTGATGACGACGGGAAGTGCCTGGAAGTCTACGGACCCGAGCTGCTTAGTCTGGAGATTCATGCCCCTTTCGGTTTCGACCAAATCGAAGTTTCTGCTCCGAAGCTCGAATCGTTTACTTACAGGGTTGTGATTCCTGACTTTTCTCCAGTAATTCAAGTGTACTTGGATGTTCCTTCTTTACAGCATGCTGATATAATGTTGTGGGGTTATGCGGATTTGGATTATGAGTATGCCAAGGAAGAGGCAAACGAGCAGTTTTCAGACATGCTCCTATGCCTCGGTGGTGTCGAAACTCTCTCCCTGCAATTCGATACACTTGAGGTCAGTTTCTTGTAATGTGTCGAAATATCTTTTTCTGCTACTGATGATGTCACTATCTGAGTTGTTCATGGTGATCGAACTCTACTAATTCCATGCACTTCTTTAGGCACTGATCAATGCTTGTGGCTTGATGAAGAATCAGCCATCGCCGTTTACAAGACTCAAGTCCTTGAAATTGCTTTATTCTGAGGGAAATGTTGGCATACCTCGCGATGTGATGCACTTCTTTGTTGATGGTTCTCCTTTCATGGATGAAAACGCTGTGAAGCTAACTAAGGTGAGATGATGAACCGACATCTTCTTTTGTCTTAATGTTGACTGAACCCACGATAATTGATGTTGAATTTGATTTGATTCGATCCGATTTGATTAATACAGGTTGCTACTTCCTCATTCCCGTACAATCTGCGAGCTTAAACATGCATGGTGAAATATTGCTACTCAAGGTGCTTAGAAGGTGGAGGTTGAAGAAAGTTGCTAGGCTTTGCTCGTGTAACGGAACTCTTTAAAATAAGCTCTCACTATTTCGCATATGTACTGGAGACACAACATTGCTCCTTAATAATGGTGTGTTTTTTATTGTGAGATACAATGAGAAATAATGAGTGAACTTCTCGTAATATACCAACTTTGTTTTCTGGTTATTTTACATTACCATAGCTAATTAATATTCATGCGCTAATTTCAAATTGGAACTTTTGATGATTGAAAATGATTTTCTAAATTTTTTTTTAAATCTATCCTAACTTTGAAATTTTATTTCGCGCCAAATTTATAGTAGACAGAAATAAATCACTATATGCTTTCATCTAAGGATAGACAATTTTGGCATACTTGATTGTACCAACTCATAATCTTGAATGTATTTGAAAGAGCAACTCTTTTGTCTTGTTACCAAACATACTTAACAAGTTCCAAATTGATGAGTTGTTTTCTTCATAGTTGGAGGTTTTTTTGCGGGCAATCTTCAAGTAAAAAATTTCATTTGATCCCCTCGTTAATTTCATAATTGATGCTTGATAAATGACTTTTCTCTTATATATTTTGAAATTTAAGTCAACTACAATTTACATATACATTACTCTGCGGTAGTCTTGAGTATTCTTGAAGTTCCAACTGAAGTTGGTTTGAAAGAATTTCAAGGTGAAGTGGACGAACCAAGTTTGGGTGTTTGTAGTGTTTGGTAAATTAAATTAATTTGAAGATGAGGCGCTAAGTTAATTACTAAAGTTGAGACGTGGAATAGCTTATTTATCGAATTTAGGAGTTAGTTGATAACCTGTGAGAGCCACATTTTCACTTCTACATGGATTTTGAATTTGGTGCAAAATGATTGATCTTTCAGGTGGTGACGTAGACAAATCTATTTGCAAAGCTAGCTTGGAGTACCGTTCAATTAAGACACGTGAAAGCTTTTGTTTAAATTAATTTAATTTGAAGTTGACCCGCCAAACTAATTACTATTTACAAGGTTTGAAATACCGTACAACAGGTTGTACCGGAAAAGTTAGCGGTAGAGTATTTTATGTTAAATTATGGTTTAACCGTGGTTCGAGCGCTTCATACTGCTAAATACCGCATATCGGTTTAGCCTCCGGTAAGATACTTTTCTGGTCGAACTGCCGATACGGTACGGTATTTCAATCCTTGCTATTTACTAAGATCTTGACGTGGACTAACTAATTTACTTAATGTAGTGCATGACTAATAAGTCAAGAACATTCTTTTTTCATTTATACTTCAAATTTGAATTTGGCGCGAAAAGTCATTTCAATAGGCCAGTGACGTAGGCAAATCGACTTGGAGAGCTAACCGTTCATCAATGGTAACAAAACAAAACTTATCTTTTAGTAAAGTTCAATTTTACCCGCCAAATTAAGTAACTAACTATTTTGGATTTACTTACCGGAATTCATGACTTTATGGATGCATGACACGTGGGAGTTTCATTTTCCGTTATAGTTTTGTTTTTATTAGGCGTGAAATTATTTTTCAGTTGGTGACATAGGCAAATCAGTTGCGGCCCCTGTCGGTTTGTCGATGACACGTCAGAACTTTTATTTATGAAGTTTACCTTGAAACTCGTCCTAAACTAATTAACTAACCATTTTACTTTTAGTTATGAAGTTTACCTTGAAACTCGCCCTAAACTAACTAACTAACCATTTTACTGATTTTAAGGGCTCGTTGATAATACTTGAAACTTTTATTTCTCATTATAAATTGGTATCAAATTTCGGCTTCTAAAGACTTTTCAACTAATTATGTCTTATAAATATCTTTCTTCATGCCTTAACTAACGTTTCCCTTTTGATGAACCATGTCTTAATTATTGAACTTCGACCTCAACAAGTGAGAAAGGCGTAGCCGTGGAGAAGGGCAGATTGTTAAGCACATAATCTAGCATTATACAGCGATCAGAGCGCATGAACAGTCAATCAAACTGGCTTCTCCTCTCTTCCTTATACTTTACATATAGAAGAGACTGAAGGTGTTTTTATCAAAGGGAAAGATTAATGAACTTGCCTTGCTCTGTTTCTCATATGTGACAATCATGTTAAGAGTCCAAGACATGTGTGCTCATACACTGTTGGTGCACGTTTTATTGAGTTCGTTTGGTATTTTTATGCCCTGTAAAAGCTTGTTCCATCACCAAGAAGTGCATGGCCATGTTTTGCAATTCAAAAGGAAGAATTGGGTGGACTTCGGCGAGAGCTGATCGCCCAGTTTTAAGGCTATTGGCACAAGTTTTGACTTCAATCCAAATGATTGTTCAACGGCTAATATCTTACTCTATATCTATCTCATTTTTCATAATCGACACCATTCTTGGTTAATGAGAAGTTGGTGTAGTTAAATTGTAATAGATGACTTTCCAAGTTTATGAATCAATATTTTTTGTCGTGTACAATCCTTCATTATTACGAGAAAATAAGATATTTCAGAATGGATGAGTCACCTATATAATGTAGAAAGTGAAAGATGGCTTAAAGGTTTTCTTTCTAGTTGTCCAATAACTCAACTAAAACAAAGAAAATGTACTTCTAACCCGACAATAATGTGTAATTGGAATCTTAATGGATAAATAAATTCTCACGGAGTAAGTCACTGATCATACAAGGTAGAAAAGTGAAGTTATAAGATTCACGACACTGTATCTTTCATTTTGAACACAACTAACATAATATGGAATACAAATTATTTCTCGAATGGATGAGTCACTACTTTAAATGAGAAAATCCATAACTTTATAAGTGTTCACCATCCTATCAATTAATCACACCTCAAGCCTTATAACATTCCCTTTTTCTCTATTTCCTTTCCGTCGAGTGCAAAAATGGCGAAAACATTTTCCCCTCCCACTGCCTTCTCAGTTTCCGCACATTTTAAGCCGTCACCGTTTCCTATCATTTCACTTCCTCTAACACTCCAACGCTTTCCTAATTGAATATCAAAACGTTCATGAACAACTCAACTCATTTACAACCTACTTGTAACTATCACCAAACGTCCTGGAAGTCTCCAATTTGATTTGGGGATTTGGCGGGAGAGAATGTTGTATAGGTGTTGTTGTGAAACCAACAAATCATGTTTTGAAATTTGGGGAAATGAGGTTAGCAACATCAAATTTTTGCTCATTGTCTTAACTACCATTTGGATTAGCAACAAATCAAATAAAATATGCTCTAACAAATTACATACTTTTGTATATTTTGATATTTCTTGTTTTTTAATCGATATGCTTTTAGTTTTTACTACCGGTGATTGTAAACATATCAAAGTAGTAAGAGGATGTTATAAATAGAGGTAGGAATAAATTTTAGACTCATAGTGGTAAGATGGTGGTAGAAATTATCTGAAATTGTTTTAGTAAAACATAACTAAAATGAATATCATTCTGTAGATTATAATAAGCTCGTCTTTATGTGGATTAAGTAAAAACAAACGGTATACAAGCCAATTAAGAAAATCTAGAAATTTTAAAAAATATTTAGTCTCAACTAACCGTCTGAGGATGGTCAATTACTTAAAAGTGTTGTTTGACCTCTTTTATTGAAAGAAACTTTGTCTGTCTCTCGAAAATAGTAATACTAAACCACGTAGTATTACTTTCAAGTTTCAAATGCAAGCGTATAATCCAATAATTAAGACATGATTTCATTGGGAGGAAAATTTTAGTTAAGATATGAACATAGATCTTATTAGTTTTGCCTCACGTTGTGAAAAGTTTGTCCGCGTCAAAACCCCCCACAAATCTATAAAAGAAAAGACACGTAACGAACCTCGAAATTTCGTAATGTAGTTGTTTAATTAGCTGGGGTGTTTCAAATTAAACTTCACTAAAACATAAGCACTTACATGTCATCATAAAGCTATGCAAATTGATTTGCCAATTTCATCAACTAAAAACTCGTTTTTCCTCATTATAATCAAAAAAAGGTTTTAACGAAAAAAGAAATACTCATGTGTTATCGAAAAAATTTGGATCGATTAGTTAGTCATTCCATGTTGGTTTGCCTATGTCATCATTTACAAAGTTAATCTTTTCACGCCAAATTCAAAATGAAGAAACGTTGCATTCCGACAAATGAGTCACTTTATTTAAACGAGCCAACAACCATTTTTAGTATTCACCAAATTTATAATTTTACTTTTTACCGTGCCTGATTGAGCGTGAACATGTTCTAATTTGTTCTAGAATCAAGTCTAGTTAAAATACTATCATAACTAAAAGATATATAAAAAAAACAGTGACAATGATCTGAATCAAATTATGTTATTGAATCGGTTTGATTTCTTTTATTTTTCAAATAAATCATGAATATCTAAAAACAAAACTATATTATCTCATTTGATTTTGGTCAAGTTCGATCCGATATATAGCGAATTGTTACTCAAATACTCAGCCTCACAACCTCTTCTTATCATTGTGTATGCTAGCTTTTATTTTAAAACAGGCTCACCTGAAAAAAACATAGTAAACCGATGAGTCAGCATTATAAGTGACGAAATGCTTTTTGGCCTCTGCAATTTCTGCACATTTAATTTCTAACCGTCGCCTTTCCCTTCAATTTCTCTAACGAGTGAATAGACGTCCTCTTCTTCTATCTCTGTTCGTCGACTATTGCCTCATAGTTGCGGGAGGCGCATTGATCAGCACATCTCACTAGACCATTTCTGAATTCCGCTCTTTCTCCGTTTTCACGGCCAAATTCTCGTCAAGGTAAGCAACTCCTCTCTATCTCTCTGCTTCAGAGCAATTTTTTTATTTTTTTTTATATGGATGATAACTTCAGAGCAAAAATTTTATCATGCACTCGGCCTGTCTCTCTCCGATTCAAAGCAAAATTTGTTTGAAGTAGTTCGTGCTGGTGACGGGATTAGTTTGATATATGTGCATCCTTTTGATTCATTGACGGTAGCGATTTTTGAATATGCACTGAAATCTTGTTTGTTTGTTTGTTTCGATGGCAAGTCTGGTTTTCATAGCCGCATTTTGTAGAGCAGGTGGGGGAGATCTCGGCCGAAAGGTAACAAAATGGTTAAGTATCTGAAAATCAACGGCAGAACCTTCGGTGCTGGCAGCAACACGACTTTGGAGACGCGTGTGGCCGAATTTCTGAAAGGCCGACCTGACGAGATCAGCTTCGAATTCTCTTCAGAACGTACTGACATTGAAATCTTTGAGGAGCTCATGAAATGCGCCGCCGGACATGGGCTTCTGAATTTGTGGGTTCGCGGTTCCCCTGAATTCATGGATCTGTCTGGTCGATCGGACACTGCTTTCGGATCCATCACCCACTGCGGTCCGTCGCTGGAGTATCTGGAGTTGGAAGAATTCAAGTTCAATAGGAAGCGGACGTTTGGGCAGTCCTGCTCTGGCTTCAGAGCGCTTACAGCTCTGTATCTGATCAAATGCTGCTTCGATTTCTCTCGCTGGGAGCGACTCGACCCTTTCGCTCATTTCCCCGCCTTGCAGCGGTTGACGCTGAGTTCTTGCAGCTGCCAAATTGGCGATGATGATCGTCCTGACGAAACCAGGTGTTTGGAAATCAACGGAGACCAATTGTTTAGTCTCGAAATAGACCAGCCGGTTGGTTTCACTGAGATCAAAGTATCGGCGGAGAAGCTCAGTAGATTCACTTACAAACATCAGATTCCCGACAATCTTCGGGCAACAGAAGTCTCCTTGAATGCTCAATCCTTGAGCTGGGCGGATATCGAGTTATTGGGATACAAACGTTTGGTTTGTGATGAGCAGAGAAAGCGATGGGCACAGGTTTATGCAAACTTGTTCCATGGCCTGGGTAATCTGCTATCTCTCGTGCTCAAATTCGATACCACCAAGGTAAGTTCCCTGGTCTCTGGCCATTTAGCTAAGCTGTTGTTCGTTTCTTGACTTACTGCGTGGGTTGAAGAAAAGCTTATTTTGTTCATGGTGTTTTGATTTATGCTCTGGTTTTAGGCATTGTTTGACGCCTGTAAGTTGGTGAGAGATCAACCTTCGCCTTTCCGAAAATTGGAGTCCATGACTCTGCGTTCTGAGGAAGAGGACTTAACCGTGATACCTCAGTATGTGATGGAGTACTTTTTCGGCAGCAATGAATCCATGAATTTCATCGCTTCACGGAACGTAATCCTGGTAAGTCTATGAATCCATGCTCTTCTAATCGAACTCGACATGGAGATCAATTGATTGATTACTTGTGATTTGTGATGGCTACAGCTTAAAGTCCATTTTATTTTCTTGACTCAGATTAGTAAGCGATGATTCTTGCACCATCCTCGGTACTGGAACATTCTGCAAACTGGGAGTCCGATTGATCCTGAGTTCTTAGAGGGCAGAGGTTGAAGAATTTGTTTCCTGTACCTGTACTGAATTGGGGGATATGTTGTTTATGCTAGTTGCTAGACTTGGTTTCTGTGACTCGTTGAACTAGTGTCTGATTATGTCCTTTTTGTTTTGTGATAGTCTCTCTCTCCTTTTCTTTAAGAGGGAAATGAGTGACTACAGCATCGAATTGAAAATTGGTGGTCTTTCCTTTTTGTTTATTTTTAAAGTGGATTATAGCGGGAAATAAATGAACTTTTCGTGAATCATATGAGGTTTTTAAAGTTTTTTTAGTTAGATTTTATGAGAATTCTAGAGTGAATGATTTGAATTTGCCGCGAAATCAGAAAAGGTATTGAGGTGTGGATTGTCACGTGGCATGTATCGATTATATTGCTTAAAAAGTGACATGTAATAGTTTTTAGTTATAATTAAGAATTGGAATTTGGTACGTAATGAAAAACGTATGATTTTGTATGTGGAATGGACTGATCGATTAGTATCATGAAATTAGTGACGTATGAGATCCTTTTCTTTTTGTTAAAAATATAGTTTGAAATTAATATAAAACAATAATGTATGACTGGATGTGAATAAATGGTTTTCGTCTTGAAAGTACCTTTGAGTTCTATTATAAAATAATATCGATAGATTTTTATTTCGAAGTTGTGCCAGAAAAGAGTAGTAAAGTTAGGATTATAGACTACATTTTATTTATCAAAATTTTTATATTAACTTAGTGAATTTTCCTTTTCCCAAATACTCACTAGTTGAAATTATGTCGTGGACAACGTAAATTATGAAAAACTCATAACTCAAATGACAATTGAGATTGAAGTACTAATTTGAAATTGGTGTGAGAAATTCGATAGTATTTTGAGAATGGTTACTTGTACCAAAGAACATGTAAAGTTCGGAAAATTCATACTTGATACATTTGTGATCTTTCGTCATTTAGGTTCTAAAGTTTTTCTGACAAAAGAAAATCAATTTTTCGTAGATCACTAGAGTTCCAGATTTAATTTGACAATAAAAAAATTTTAGGTTAGGTTATCATTAAATTACCTTATATTTGGTTTATTTACAAGTAAACTTAAAAGTGAGAATGGATATGTAATTATGAACTTAACATGTTGGTATATTGAACAATATGGAAATCTTAGAAAAATTTAGTAAATGAAAAAAACAATAAGTAACGCACCAAACCTCAGTCAAAATAAAAAACGCACCAAATTGAATAAAGTTTGTAGTTGCCTATTCCATCCCATGCACACCACCTGGATAAGCACCACATTTAAAGCTAATACAAACTCTCTCTCCTCTTTTTCTTTTTTTTTTTTTTTTCTTCACAGAATCTCTGGCCTTGGCCTTTCTTCTGGTTAGGGAGGTTCTGGAGACGAAGAATGCCGAGAAGGAAGGTGGTGAGGATGACGAGCAAGATGAACAAGTGATTATGAGTACGGATGAGAGTGATGGTACTGATGATGGTGACGATGACGTGGAGGGTGTCGAAGAGGTTGGTGCTTTCCGACAAATGAGGCACCTTATTTAAATGATCCAACATCAATTTTCAAATCAAATTATATCGAGTCGTTCAGCTTTGATTCAGTTCAGCCAGATTAAATGGCATTGTTACTCACCTCCAACCTCTTTTGTTTGCTAGCTTTTACAACCCAGGCTCACGTGAAAAAACTCAACTTTTTTCATGGTTAAAATTAAAAAGACAAGAATCTCCACAAACGGACGAGTCAGCATTTTAAATGAGAGTGAGAAGATATGAAGACCCCTCCCCGCCCGTCCCTACCATATCTCATTTCCTTCCAAAACCAAGAGTGACGAAAAGCTTTTTTGCCTCTGCACATTTCTAACCGTCGCCTTTTCTTCTATCTCCGCTCGTCGGCTATTTGCCTCAAAGTTGCCGGCGGCGAATTGAACAGTGCAGATCACGCCATCATTTCCTGAATCCAGCTCTCTTTCCGTTTCCTCAGCCAGTTTCTCGTCAAGGTAAGCAACCCCCCTCTCTCTCTCTCTCTCTCTCTCTTTCAGAAAAGTATTTGTTTCAGTTCTTAACCATGCACTCCACCTCGCTTCCTAAGCCTTCCAAGACTTTCAATCGTTCAGCTTGTTTGAAGATTTTGAGTCGTACATCCTTTTGATTCGTTGACGGTAGCGATTTTTGAATATGCACTGAATCTAGTTTGTTTGTTTCGATGGCAAGTCTGTTCTTCGTATCCGCATTTTGTCGAGCAGCTGGTGGGAAGATCTCTGTCGAAAGAAAACAAAATGGTTAAGTCCCTCAAAATCAACGGCAAAACCTTCGCTGTTGGCAGCAAGACGAGTTTCCAGAAACGTGTGACCAAATCTCTGAAAGGCCGACCCGACGAGATCAGCTTCGAATTCTCTTTAGAATGTACTGATCTTGAAATCTTTGAGGAGCTCATGAAATGCGCCGCTGGGCATGGGCTTCTGAACTTGTGGGTTCGTGGTTCCCGCGAATTCATGGATTTGTCTGGTCGATCGGACATTGTTTTCGGATCCATCACCCAATGTGCTCCGTCGCTGGAGTATCTGGAGTTGGAGGAATTGAAGTTTAACGGGATGTACACGTTTGGGCTGTCCTGCTCTGGTTTCAAAGAGCTTAATGCTCTGCATCTGTCAAGTTGTTGCTTCGATTTCTCTTCCTTGAAGCGGCTTGACCCTTTCCGTCATTTACCCAAGTTGGGAGTGTTGATGCTGAGCTCTTGCAGCTGCCACATTAGCGAAAGTGATGGTCCTGACGAAGCCAGGTGTTTGGAAATAAGTGGAGACCGATTGTCTGTGCTGGAAATATACCAACCGGTTGGTTTCACTGAGATCAATGTATCAGCTACCAATCTCACTTCATTTACTTACAAACATGAGATTCGAGACCATCTCCCGGCAACAGGACTCTCCTTGAATGGTCAATCCTTGGGCATGGCGGATATTGAGTTATTGGGTTACAAACATTTGGTTGGTGATGAGCAGAGAAAGCGATGGGCAGAGCTGTATGCAAACTTGTTCCATGGCCTGCGCAATGCGAGCTCTCTCGACTTCAAATTCGATACAGCCATGGTAAGTTCCCTGGTCGCCATATTCGTGCACAAGTCGGATTATATCTTAGTGCCGCAGGGCAATTTAGTTGTTGTGGGTTTGAAGGAAAGCTCATTTTGTTCATGTTGTTTTGGTTTATGCTCTGGTTTAAGGTGTTGTGGGACGCTTGTAATGTGATGGGAGATCAATCTTGGCCTTTTCTAAAATTGGAGTCCTTGACTTTGCACCATGAGGACGAGGAAGACATACCCGGGATGGGCTACTTTTTCGGCAACTATGAATACTCGCTCTTCTATGGACGGAAGGTCATCCTGGTAAGTCTATGAATCCATGCTCTTCTGCTCGAACTTGATATAGAGTGTTGGTTACATGTGAATTTTTGTGGCTGTAGCTTAAATATCTTCATTTTCCTTTGATTTTGAACTAAACTCCGTTTATTTTCTTCACTCAGATTGCTAGGCGATGATTCCTGCACCATCCCCGGTACCAGAACATTCTGCAAACTGGAAGTCCGATTGATCCTGAGTTATGAGAGAACAGAGGATAAAGAATTTGTTTCCTGTTGTTGTCCTGATTGGGAAACTAGGGGGATATATATGTTGTTTATGGTAAAGACTTGGTTACTGTGACTCATGGAACTAGTGTCTGATTGTGTCCTTTTTGTTTTGTGTTAATTGAACCTTTGTGGTCTCTCCTTATGTTTTTTTTTAAGTGGATTATGGCGGGAAATGAATGAACTTTCGTGGATCATATGAGTTTTTCTTTGTTGAGTTATATTTAATGAGAATTTTCTTGAATGAATGATTTGAATTTGGCGCGAAATCAGAAAATGTATTGAGGTGTGGGTTGTCACGTGGAATGTCGATTAATTTGCTTAGGAAGTGACGCGTAATAGGTTTTATTTATAATCAAATTTGAATTTGGCGAGAAACTAAAAATACGCATGATTTCTGACGAGGAACAGATTGATCGATTAATTGCGTGAAATTAGTAACGGGTAAGGTTGCTTTCTTTTTGTTAAAACTCTAGTTTAGAATTAGTAATATTATTGGATGTGACGAAATGGTTTCGATTTTGAAAATACCTATGAGTTTTATTTAATAATATCTATGGAGCTTTAACCTAACCAATGTTTTAGATACGTACCTTATCAATCTGTCGGACTGAAAAATATCATAGACCGATCGAAAATGGTATGCGATTTTAGCGGTACGAAATTATAGAACCGCAATTCAATCATGATTTTGGTACAAAATACCAAACTACTAACTTTCCGGTATAACTTTCAATACGGTTTCACAATCCTTGGTATTAACATGAAGTTGGACCATAAAATTGGTAAATTTAGGGTTATAGAGTACATTTGATATCAACCTACTAAACTCTCCTTTTTCACAAATACTCACTAGTTGAACTTGAAATTGTGTCGTGGACAACGTAAATTATCAAACTGATATACTCGAATGACAATCGAGATTGAAGTACAAATTTGAAATTGGTCTGTGAAATTCGAAAGTATTTTGAGAATGGTTACTTGTACCAACGAACATGTAAAGTTCGGAAAATTCATGCTTGATACATTTGTGATCTTTCTTCATTTAGGTTCTAAAGTTTTTCTGACAAAAGAAAATCAATTTTTCGTAGATCACTAGAGTTCCCGATTTAATTTGACAATAAAAATTTTTTAGGTTAGGTTATCATTAAATTACCTTATATTTGGTTTATTTACAAGTAAACTTAAAAGTGATAATGGATATGTAATTATGAACTTAACATGTTGGTATATTGAACAATATGGAAATCTTAGAAAAATTAATAAATGAAAAAAACAATAAGTAACGCATCATACCTCAGTCAAAAAATAAAAAACGCACCAAACTGACTAAAGTTTGCCGTTGCTTATTCCATCCCATGCACACCACCTGGATAAGTACCACATTTAAAGCTAATACAAACTCTCTCTCTACAAAATTCTCTCTCCTCTTTTTTTTTCCCCAGAATCTCCGGCCTTCATTCTTCTTCTGGTTAGGGAGGATGAAGAATGCCGAGGAGAAGGAAGGTGGTGATGATGGCGTGCAAGATGAACAAGTTATTATGAGTACGGATGAGAGCGGTAGTACTGGTGATGACGAGGACGCCGACGTCGACGTGGAGGGTGTGGAAGAGGTTGGTGGTGATGATGATGACGTGTTGAGTCCCCATTCGCCGGAAGATGATCAGGCTGATGGTGGTGATGAGGTGGAACAAGAAGATCTGCGGCCGAGGATGAGTTCAGGGGAGGAATTTGGGCTGCCTGCTGGCTGGCAGGTCGAGGAAAGGCCTAGGCTTAGCGGAAAGCTCAAAGGCAGATTCGATAAGGTTTTTCCCCCTCGATCTCCTTTTTTTTTTCCCCTGTTAATCCGCTCGTTGATTAATTGAGCTGCTGAATGACTTGAATCTGATATATTTTGTAATTTAAACCAATTACTACGATTTGATAAAGTGGGTTTAGGATTTGGGGGCGTCAATTTGCCTGTACACTACGTGCTCTGTGGGAATCTAGGGTGTTCTTGTTGAAGTTTGAATCTGATGTTGTCTTGAAAATCATTTCAAGGGTTAAGTGAAGGGAACCAACCAATTTGCGGTATTTTGGAGTTTGGTGAATCATATTTATAAAAAAAAAACCTTTACAGTGAAGTTAGAAGAAAATTCGAATTTGGTGCGGGAAAAAAACTTTTCGGGTGGTGATGTAGGTAAATCAAATTGTTGAGGATATATAGTTTTGATGATGATAGATTAGAGATTTACTGCTGGTAGAGTTTAATTTGAAGATGACGCTACAAATTAATTACTAAAATTGAGATATGAACTAACTAATTTACCGAATTCGGGAGTTCATTGATAACATGCGAGAGTCGAATTTCCTCTTATATATTGAGCTTCCATTTGGCGTGGAATGATTGATCTTTCAGGTGGTGACGACTGACATAGACAAACATATTCGTAAAGCTAGGTTGGACAGATTGCTTAAGACACGTTAAAGTTTTTTTAAAATAAAACTTAATTTGAAGTTGACTCGCCAAACTAATTACTAAGATTGTGATGTCGGCTGACCAATTTACTTAATGTACATAGAGCCTAACTATTAAGTCATGAACGTTTTTTTTTTCTTTTATAATTTGAATTTGGCGCGAAAAAACATTTCAAGAGGCTAATGACGTAGGCAATTCAACTTGCAGGGCTGATAGTTTGATCGATGGAAACATATAAAAACATCTCCAAATTAACTAACTATTTTGGATTTAGCGGGAAAAAAAATAACTTTACAAGCACAGACACAGCCAAATCAACACGACTAACTAACTTACCGGAATTCTTTGACTTTATTGATGTATGACAAATGAGCGTTTTTTCCCTTATGTTTTAGCTTTGTTTTGAATTCGGCGCGAAAAGATTTTTCAGATGGTGACAGGCAAATCAGTTTGAATACTGCTGGCAGTTTGGTGATAACACGTAAGAACTTCGGGTTGGTGAAATTTAATTTGAAACTCCCCCAAACTAATTAACTAACTATTTTAGTGAGTTCGTGGTCTCATTGATAATACGTGAACATTTTCTCTCCCGTTATAAACTGAAATGAAATTTGGCACCTAAAAACTTAACAAACGATGATGTCTTGCAAAGATCTCCGTTCTTGTATTAATTATTGAACTATACATTGGATGTGAAAGTAATACTATTTAGTACTATGAATGTGGTGCAGTATTACTATGAGCCAGAGACAAACAAAAGGTTCCGTTCAATGAAAGAGGTCAAAGAACACCTCCAGATAGATGACCTTCCTCAGCCATCCAGACAGGGGCGGAGCCAGGATTTAATCATCGGGGGGGCCGGAATTTTCTTAATACGTTACAGCAAAAGAGGAAAAACTAGTAATAAAAATTATTTTAAAAACATATTATTATAATTAAATCTCAAAACTTGTTCACATTGAGTTCACTACAAATCATAAAAAAATATAATGACAATAGTCGAATTAGCTAATAACTAGCTTCCAAAAAAGAAAGGAGAGGGCTACTGCTTACCAAAAAGGCAAAAAAATAAAATATATGCTCACCTCAAGAATTGAACCCGTGACCATTTGGTCCTTCTAAATTGCCAATTCCGATAGGCTACCTCAAATTTGATTTTATAATCTACACGCTTTGTCTTTTTATTAAATACTTTCTTGTTTATACGTATTATCCTAAACCATTTACACGTAAGTTCGAGATTCTCGGGGGGGGCCGGGGCCCCCCTTAGGGCCAATGTAGCTCCGCCCCTGCATCCAGAAGAAAGATCAAGAAAAGGGCAGGACGAGATCACGTTGATTCTGCGGTACGACACCAATTTGATCTACATCAGTTGATCTAGTTGCATTTGAGACACTTTGATCCCTCCTCCCTTCTTTTGTTATGGTTAAAACACTTGTGGCCAATGCAATATCCTATATATTGAAGTTTGATGTTCAGGGTACTTCGAGCTCAACAAGTGAGAGAGGGCGTGGCCGTGGGAGAAGAGGCAGCCGTGGCCGTGGCAGGAACTATGGACCTCTTTCTCAGCCGGTTCTAAGGCCATCTGCTAGGGGAACAACACTTCCAGCTCCTCCTCACCATCGAGTTGTTTTCGTTGCAAAACGCAACAACGATGACGAGGATGAGTAGCATGATATGGTCAGACGATTGTTAAGTGCGCAGACTCTAGCATTACATAGTGATCAGAGCGCAAGACCCGTTAATGAAACAGGCTTTTCCTCTGTTTCACATATATGACAATCATGTTAAAGAGATGTGCTCATACATAGTTTCTGTCCTTTTTATTGGGCTCGTTTGGTACTTTTATGCCGAGTAAAAGCTTGTTCCATCACCAAGAAGTGCATGGCTATGTTTTGCAATTCAAAAGGAACAATTGGGTGGACTTTTGGGAGAGCTGATCACCCAGTTTTAAGGCTACTAGCACACATTTTGCCGTTGATCTTGGTGGCTATTCAACGGCTAATATCTCTAATTATATTGCTCAATTTCATTTTATTTTCCATTTTGAACACAATTAATGTGATATCGAATAGAAAGTATTTCTCGAATGGATGAGTCAACGATTTAAATGAGAAAATCCATAAATTTACACGTGTTCACCATCCCATCAATTAATCACACCTCACGCCATTTAGCCTTCTCTTTTTCTCTAATTTCTTTTCCTATCCGTCGATTGCAAATATGGCGAAAAGTTTTTTCCTTCCCACTGCCTCCTCAGTTTCCGCACATTTCTAGCCACAATTGTTTCCTTTCGTTTCATTACCTTTTACCTCTCTGGCGCTTTCTTCTTCTTCTTCTTCTTCTTCTTCTTCTTCTTCTTCTTCTTCTTCTTTTCTCTTGGTTTCGAAAATTAGGTTCGTCGATCATTGCCCGAAAGTTTCCGGAGGCTGACTTCACCCTGCAACGAGATTTCCAGGGTAAATTAATTGATAATAGCGAGGGTAGTATTTTCCCTTCGAGATGAATTTTGAATTTGGCGCGAAATGATTGATCTTTCATGTGGTAAAGTACACAAATCTATTTGTAAAGCGAGCTTGGGCCATTTGATTAAGACATGTGAAAGTTTCGTTTATGTAAAAAAATTGAAGCTGACCCGCCAAACTAGGTACAAATATCGTTAAGTGGACTAACCAATTTACTTAATATAGCACATGACTAATAAGCCATGAGCGTTCTTTTTTCTTTTATACTTGCAATTTGAATTTGGCGCGAAAGGATTGATCTTTCATGTGGTGAAGTACACAAATCTATTTGTAAAGCGAGCTTGGGCCATTTGATTAAGACATGTGAAAGTTTCGTTTATGTAAAAAAATTGAAGCTAACCCGCCAAACTAGGTACAAATATCGTTAAGTGGACTAACCAATTTACTTAATATAGCACATGACTAATAAGCCATGAGCGTTCTTTTTTCTTTTATACTTGCAATTTGAATTTGGCGCGAAAGGATTGATCTTTCAGGTGGTGAAGTACACAAATCTATTTGTAAAGCGAGCTTGGGCCGTTTGATTAAGACATGTGAAAGTTCCTTTTATGTAAAAAAATTGAAGCTGACCCGCCAAACTAGGTACTAAGATCGTTAAGTGGACTAACCAATTTACTTAATAAAGCGGATGACTAATAAGTCATGAGAGTTCTTTTTTCTTTTATACTTGCAATTTGAATTTGGCGCGAAAAGACATTTCAAGCGGCTGCTTACGTAGGCAAATCAACTTGCAGAGCTGACATTGATTTTTTTTATTGTAACATAAAAAAACTTTTCTTTTAGTAGAGTTAAATTAGAAGTTCACCCACCAAATTAATAAGCTAACTATTTTGGATTTAGCAAAAAGATATGACCTTTACAAGCGGTGGCATACCCAAATCCACGCAGTTAACTTACTTACCGGAATTCAAGACTTTATTGATGCATTCGTTATAGCTCTCTTTAATTGGGGGCAAAAGATTTTTTCAGTTGATGACATAGGCAAATCAGTTTGAAGACTGTTGACAGTTTAGTGATGACCTGTAAGAACTTCTCTTTCTCTTTAGTGAAGCTTAATTTGAAACTCATCCAAACTAATTAACTAACTATTTTACTGAGATTGAGATATCATCGATAATATTTGAAAGTTTTATTTCCCGTTGTAAATTGGTATCAAATGTTGGTATGTAACGACTTTTCAAATGATAATGTCTTATAAATATATCTGTGTTCATGTCTTAACTAACATTTCTTTTTTTATGAAACATGTCTTAATTGTTGAATTATACGTTGGATTTGACAATAATTCTATTTAGTTCCATAAATATGGTGCAGTATTACATGAAGCATCAACTTGTCCAAATAGATGACCATCCTCAACCTTTCGAGTAGAAAGGTCAAGAGAAATGCAGGACAAGGTCAACTTTTTCCATCACCAAGAAGTGCATGGCTATGTTCTGCAATTCAAAAGGAGCGCTTGGGTGGACTTTTGGGAGAGCTGATCACCCAGTTTTAAGGCTACTAGCACAGGTTTTGACGTCAACCTTAATAATTGTTAAACTACTAATATCTTGCTCTTTCTTCATATGATTTTTCACAATGGACACCATTTCTTGGTTAATAAGAAGTTGGCGCAAATAAATTGTAATAGATGACTTTCCAAGTTTATGAATTAGTATTTTTCATTGTGTGCATTATTTATTTACAGCGAGAAAATAAGATAATTCCAAATGGATGAGTCACCTATATAATGTAGATAGAGGACGGCTTCAAAATTTTCCTTTTTTATTGTCTAATAACTCATCTAAAACAAAGAAAATGTACTTCTAAACCGATAATAATTTTTATTGCAATCGTAATGGATAAATTATGCTTCACCGAATAAATAATCCATAAAAAAGTGAAATTATAAGATTCACGACAATCTATCTTTTATTTGAACGCAACTATTATGATATCGAATACAAAATATTTCTCGAATGGATGAGTCAACACTATAAATGAAAAAGACTATAAATTTACACGTGTTCACCATCCCATCAATTAATTACACCTCACTCACGCCATTTATCATTCTACTTCCTCTCTTCCTTTCTGCCGAGTGCAAAAATGGCGAAAAGCTTTTTCCCTTCCACCGCCTCCCCAGTTTCCGCTCATTCCTAGCGGCCGCCGTTTCCTCTCGTTTCACTTCCTCTACCTCTCCGACGCCTTCTTCTTCTTCTTCTCTCTTGGTTTCGGAAATTCAGTCCCTCGATCATTGTCTCTCCTGTTGAGGTAAGCAACTCTGTTCTCTCTGCTCCGCAGCAAGATGTCCGATCGTCAAAGGACAAAGATGCACGCTGTCTCTTCTTATCCCATATACAAGATCTTGAGTCCTTAAATCTGCAATCGGTGACGGAAGTTTATCCATCGTGTATACCGTCGGCCATGGCGGTTACAAAAGTTTGCTCTGTATCTTTTTGTTTGTTAGTTTCGTTTGTTTGGATGCTTGGTTTCTGCTCACAAATTTAATTTTGCTCCCCTGAGATCAGCCCTGTTTTGAGGATTCAAGATGCCTAGAGCGCCGGCGAAAGGGGGAAGACAACGAGGAGTTGTGAAAGGAAGTAACCCCGACAGGTTGAGCAATTTTCCCGACGAAGTTCTGCACTGCATTCTCTCCTTCCTCGACACCAAGGCGGCGGTTCGAAGCGGCATTTTGTCGAGCAGGTGGAAGTCACTCTGGAAAACGGTTCCCGTCCTCAATTTCGACGGGGAATCCTTCAACGACGACGAACAGAGCTTCAAGCGACATGTGGACAGATTTCTGTATCTCCGTTCCACCACTTTGCACGAGGTTCGACGTGTATCGGTCCTCAATTGCCCTGGATTTGAAGAGAGATCCGATTTGTTCACCGCTCTTTTCCTGTCGATCTCCCGCTGCGGTCGATCGCTGGAGACTCTGAACTTGAAAGCAGTCCGGCTCTACACCATGGCTTTTGCTGGGCCTTCTCCAGTTTTCAAAGTGCTCACAACTTTGACTTTAGTCGATTGCTGCTTGGACTTCTCTTGCTGGAACCAGCAGCAGGTTCGCCCTTTCGCTGGTTTCCCCATGCTGCAGAACTTGAAGCTGATTTCTTGCAGCTGCTGTCTCGATGATGATGACGATGATCCTGACGCTGACGAGAAGTGTCTGAAAGTCTCCGGACGCCAGCTGCTGTGTCTGGAGATTCATGCCCCTTTCGGTTTCGACGAGATTGAAGTCTCTGCTCCTAAGCTCGAGTCGTTTACTTACAGGGATGTGATTCGTGACTTCTCTCCAATAACTCAAGTGTCCTTGAATGCTCCTTCTTTAAAACATGCTAATATCATGATGTGGGGTTATATGGGTTTGGATGATGAGTATGTCAAGGAAGTGGCAAACCAGCAGTATTCAGACCTGCTCCTCTGTCTCAGTAGTGTTGAAACTCTCTCCCTGCAATTCGAAACACTTGAGGTAAGTTTATTGTACAAATTTCGTACTAAGTATATATTTTGCTACTGATGATGCCACTATCTGAGTTGCTGTTGTGCTTGTTTTGTTCATGGCGGTCGACCTCTACTTTGATGCATTTCTCTAGGTATTGATCAATGTTTGTGACTTGGTGAAGAATCAACCGTCGCCGTTTGCAAGACTCAAGTCCGTGAGATTGCTTTATTCTGAAGGAGCTGTTGGCATACCTCCCTATGTGATGCACTTCTTTCGTGATGGGTCTCCTTTCATGGATGAAAATGCCGTGAAGCTAACCAAGGTGAGATGATCAACCACCATAACTCTGACTTGCATGAACCCATGATAATTGATGTTGAATTCAATTTGATTCGATTCGATACAATTCATACAGGTCACTACTTCCTCATTCCCGTACAATCTGCAAGCTTAAACATGCTTGGTGAACTTCTACAAGTAAGGTGTTTGAGAGCCCTGCAATTGCATAGAAGGTAGAGGTCCAAGATGGTTGCTAGGGTTTTCACCTTAAGCCATGAGTGTACAATAGTGGCCTTAAGGGTTTGTGTTTGTTTGTGAGAATAAAATGGGAGATGATGAGTGAACTTATAATAAACAAACTTTGTACCTACCAAAAATAATAATAAACAAACTTTGTTTTTGTGGTTATTTTATATTGTCATAGTTAATATGTGTGCCCTAATTTCAAATTACAACTTCGATGATTGAAAATAATTTTCTAAAATTGTTTGATCTGCATCATAACTTTGGAACTTCATTTCGCGCCAAATTTTAAATTTAAATATAGACATAAATTAATTTTTTTTCTCATAAAGTGGAGACAATTTTGGTAGACGGGATTGTACCATCCACGCCATAATCTTGAATATGGTTGAAAGATCAATTATTTTGTCTTGTTACCAAACATACTTAACAAGTACGACAAATTATATTGTTTTTTAATAGGGTTAATAACATTTCATACCCTTTTACTATTGTATATAATTAGAGAAATTTTGTTCGCGCCCAATCTTCAAAGCAAAAGTTTTAATAAAAGAAAATTCAACATTTTGGTGTTACCATTAAACTAGGTTGATTTGAAATTCTTTTGTTCACATCACAATCTATAGAAGTCTCGCCCACTTGTGATGTTATGATGCTCATAAGTGCCTAGAATCATGGATACAGAACGCACCCGCTTATGAGCTCCTCGCAGGGCATTATGAGCATCACAAATGCATCGCTCCCCCAGTCCCCAACGAGGTTAGAAAATTAACATTTTTGCTCATTGTCGTAACTAACATTTTGATTATCCATTGTTCGCGTTTAATTTCTAATCACTACCAACAAGGACAAAAACCAGCTTATACCCACAAAAGATGGCAAAGGACCGTCTAACAGATTATCAATTTTAATTTTAAGGACTAGTAACAACCATGGTAAAAAAGGTGTTATGTGTACGCATAGACGCGCCTAAGTGCTAGGCAGTGACAAAAATGTCTCGTTTAGATTCTAGGTAGACAATTAGACTTTCATGACACTTAGGTGGTGTTTAGGCACAAAAAAAAAATTTGAGGGAGGTGTTTAGGCAAAATTAAGTATGATTAATTGGCGTGATGTGTGATTAATCAAAATGAGGTGTGCTGAAGTACACTAACATATCGAGGATTAGAAAGAATTTATAGCTAATCTTCTCAAAATGAGACCACCTCTTGACCCTCTGCCATGCTCTTCGTCATCATTGACTATAGAGCAGCCAAAATTCATGACTTCTACAAACTTATGATTCTAGGAATAATAATATATCTTATTTGTTGTTAAGAGTTAACTAAGTTATTAATCATTGAAATAGAACTAAAGTAAAAACAAGCTATAAATTGCTATTTCTACTAAGACTGGCTATTTTTGCTAATGCGGCTAGGCGCCATTTTGGTGTCGCAGGAGCAGCAAGAGGTACCTAAGGGGTATGGGTTAGGTATCCCAACAACATGTGTCTCGTAAAGGCAACAAAGCCGTACATATGATGGCACACTCGGAGACGAAATGGAATGAGCGTATTGGTTGGTTTGATAGATCCCTATTTTTTTATTGATCAGTTACAGGTGGATAATGTAACTGTCAATACTGTGTCATCAACCGAGAAATCTTTTTTTATCATAATTAAAACAAGGCAATAACGGAAAAAGAAACGCTCATGTGCTATCAATAAATTTTGAGTTCAGTTAGTCAGTTAGTCCATGTTGATTTGTCTAGGTCACCAACTAGACAGTTAAACATTCCGCGCCAAATTCAAAATAAAGAAATGGTGCTTTCCGACAAATGAGGCACCTTATTTAAACGATCCAACATCAATTTTCAACATAACCATACTTATAATTTAACTTTTTGCAACGTCTAATTGAGCGTGAGCATGCTCCAATCTGTTCCAGAATCAAGTCGAGTTAATATACTACCATACTTAAAATTTTTACAAAAAAGTTATAATGAACTAAATCGAACTATTATTTATTTGAATCAATTTGCTTTCTTTTATTTTTAAATTTATTCATCAATCTCTACAAAATCAAATTATATAGAGTCGTTCAGCTTTGATTCAGTTCGACCGGATTAAATGGGCTTGGGATACAGTCAGTAACCACTGGTTACTGACTTGTCAGTATTAAATCCGAGCCGCAGATCTAGGAACCCAGCTCATCGTGCAGTTTGGCTGGACACAGGGAATGGGAGGGGTATTTTTGTCCATTTTTAAATTTTATAAATTTTTTTAATTTATCCAGCATTTAATAGTTGGATTTTCAATGAAGGAGAGAGAAATAGTCTTTTCTCTGCAACTCTTCTTTCTCTTTCTCTCTTCCTTCTCTCTTCCTTTTTCTCTCTCAATCTTCTTCTCCTGATCTAGATTTGCTCCCTTCTCTTCTTCTTCATTTTTTTCCAGCAATCGACGAAGAAAAATTACAACCTCCCTCTTTCATTTCATTTCTTCTCTTCATCAAATCGTTTGCCTTAATTCTGATCTTTCTCCTTTTTTGGCATTTTGGTGTTCTTGATTGCAGAGGAGGAAATAACAGGAGATAGAAGACTAGTTTTTTTTCTCCCTCCTTCTGTTTTTTTTTCTTTTACGTAATATATATTGATATACCACACTATAACATATGGTATTGGGTGGTAACGAAATATATATTGGTATTACCACACTATATCATATGGTATTGGGTGGTAACGAAATATATATTGGTATTACCACACTATATCATATGGTATTGGGTGGTAACGAAATATATATTGGTATTACCACACTATACCATATGGTATTGGGTGGTAACGAAATATATATTGGTATTACCACACTATACCATATGATATTGGGTGGTAACGAAATATATATTGATGTGGCAGATTCATACCATATGGTATACTCTTAGTTAATACCAGTCAATACCATATGGTATAGACTGGTAATAACTGGAAATATTTTTTGTGTCAAAAAAATATCAAAGTGGATATCATTTTGAAGAGCACAATTAATCTGATCCAGCTGTGCAAAAAAAATTAAATTCTGACTTAAAACGAGTGAGAAATCGACCGTTAAAGATTAAGGTAATGAAAATTAAAGGTTTCGAGGAAAGAGAAGGAGGTGCTGATGTGGTCCGGTCAAAAGTCTGTGTCAGCAATAAATAGGGATAAATGCAATCTTACCTTACTGCCCTTTCGCATTTAATTTAAATAAAAAAGTGACTGACACGTGGAGACAGGAGAAGGGGGTTACTGATGAGTTACTCACCTGATCTGCTCCTAATTAAATGGCATTGTTACTCACCTCCAACCTCTTTAGTTTGCTAGCTTTTACAACCCAGGCTCACGTGAAAAAAGCTAAACTTTTTTCATGGTTAAAATTAAAAGACAAGAATTTCCTCAAACGGACGAGTCAACATTTTAAATGAGAGTGAGAAGATATGAAGACCCCATCCACCCCACCCGTCCCTACCATATCCCATCACTCCCTTCCAAAACCAAGAGTGACGAAAAGCTTTTTTTGCCTCTGCACATTTCTAACCGTCGCCTTTTCTTCTATCTCCGCTCGTCGGCTATTTGCCTCAAAGTTGTCGGCGGCGAATTGAACAGTGCAGATCACACCATCATTTCCTGAATCCAGCTCTCTTTCCGTTTCCTCAGCCAGTTTCTCGTCAAGGTAAGCAACTCCTCTCTCTCTCTCTCTCTGTTTCAGAAAAGTATTTGTTTCACTTCTTAACCATGCACTCCACCTTGCTTCCTAAGCCTTCCAAGACTTTGAATCATTCAGCTTGTTTGAAAGATTTTGAGTCGTACATCCTTCTGATTCGTTGACGGTAGAGATTTTTTAATATGCACTGAATCTGGTTTGTTTGTTTCGATGGCAAGTCTGTTCTTCGTACCCGCATTTTGTCGAGCAGCTGGTGGGGAGATCTCTGTCGAAAGAAAACAAAATGGTTAAGTCCCTCAAAATCAACGGCAAAACCTTCGTTGTAGGCAGCAAGATGAGTTTCCATAAGCGTGTGACCAAATCTCTGAAAGGCCAACCCGACGAGATCAGCTTCGAATTCTCTTTAGGATGTAAGGATCTTGAAATCTTTGAGGAGCTCATGAAATGTGCCGCTGGGCATGGGCTTCTGAACTTGTGGGTTCGGGGTTCCCGCGAATTCATGGATTTGTCTGGTCGATCGGACATTGTTTTCGGATCCATCACCCAATGTGCTCCGTCGCTGGAGTATCTGGAGTTGGAGGAATTGAAGTTTAACGGGATGTACACGTTTGGGTTGTCCTGCTCTGGTTTCAAAGAGCTTAATGCTCTGCATCTGTCCAGTTGCTGCTTCGATTTCTCTTCCTTGAAGCGGCTTGACCCTTTCCGTCATTTACCCAAGTTGGGAGTGTTGATGCTGAGCTCTTGCAGCTGCCACATTAGCGAAAGTGATGGTCCTGACGAAACCAGGTGTTTGGAAATAAGTGGAGACCGATCGTCTGTGCTGGAAATATACCAACCAGTTGGTTTCACTGAGATCAATGTATTAGCTACCAATCTCACTTCATTTACTTACAAACATGAGATTCCAGACCATCTCCCGGCAACAGGACTCTCCTTGAATGGTCAATCCTTGGGCATGGCGGATATCGAGTTGTTGGGTTACAAACGTTTGGTTGGTGATGAGCAGAGAAAGCGATGGGCAGAGCTGTATGCAAACTTGTTCCATGGCCTGCGCAATGCAAGCTCTCTCGACTTCAAATTCGATACCGCCATGGTAAGTTCCCTGGTCGCCATATTCGTGCACAAGTCGGATTATATCTTAGTGCTGCAGGGCAATTTAGCTGTTGTTGGTTTGAAGGAAAGCTCATTTTGTTCATGTTGTTTTGGTTTATGCTCTGGTTTAAGGTGTTGTGGGACACTTGTAATGTGATGGGATATCAATCTTGGCCTTTTCTAAATTGGAGTCCTTGACTTTGCACCATGAGGATGAGGAAGACATACCCGGAATGGGCTACTTTTTCAGCAACTATGAATACTCGCTCTTCTATGGACGGAAGGTCATCCTGGTAAGTCTATGAATCCATGCTCTTCTGCTCGAACTTGATATAGAGTGTTGGTTACATGTGATTTGTTGTGGCTGCAGC